TGGAACCGTTAAGTGTTTCAAGCAGCCTAACTAGCACAGTGGAGTCTAGCTCTACAGAGCTCTGCTAACAAGCCTATAAGTGGTTCAGGTGTGTTAGGTTTATCGTTTCTGCATTCATTTGCATTTTTTCCATCATGTCTAACTATTCCTTATAGAATCTGGTTGGACTAGATCTCCTTCAAAGAAGTGGCTATAATGATAGTATTTACAGTCACATGTATGTTCCAGTCAGTACTTCTCATTCCTTTGCTACTGAAACATCCTCTGCTACCCACAGGGTAAACTCTCTTATCTCCTGTTACCTCTACTCCACATTAAAAAATCAGACCAGTGTAAACACGACCTTGCCTTTACATGTGCTCTCCCCACCGTGGGGAAATAAAACTCCTCATGTGTACATTGCGCTATAACTTTTCTGTCACCTGCCACCCTCACCGTCTCACATGACTCTTGCATGTCGTTTTTGTTAGCATATTTACATCTCATGAGGAATGCAATCTTCCATTCTCAGGTCGAAAGATTTTCTAATGGCTCAGCTGACATTGAAAGTGTATTTAGTGGTTAAAGTCCATAAGGGACCTATGGAACAATACGGCATGAAGATATTTTAGAGTGACACCTTTCAGCTTTAGTGTAAGTTTAAGGTATATCTGTGGCCACATCTGAAAAAAATCTTCCTCATTCCATAAAACTTTTGTTTCAGGATTTTTTTTCTTTTCAAAACGGGCAAATTATGACTTAAATAGCTAAGCTTTTAGTCTCAATAATAAACCATGGAAAATGTACATTTTATTGTTTTAACCTTGAAGTGCTTATCAGCATGTTAGAAACTAAGTCTCAGACCTCTTGCCTTCAAACTTGTCCTTTGTTCTGGAAGCTTTGATAACTTCTTATTGTCGTATGTTACTACATACAGTCCTCCTTACAGCGTTAAATATATTCCCAGAACATTTCTTTTAGTTTTACAACTAAAAGAAAGTTGACATTTTTTTTGTAGTATGACAGTGGTTTATAAGAATCAATTTAATTTAAACTAAAAAACCTTTTCATTTGATTAATGATGGAAGAAAATATGTTAAACAGAAATGAAGAGTTTCTTCATTTTCTACGGTCAGCCACATCTCTTGGTTACTCTACGCCTGCCTTCAATAAACCAAATTGCTTACATTTGATCTAAATTTTTGTCGCACACTAAATCAACAAGGTAGTCCAAACAGTCTGGATAAATGATGAGGCAGAACCAGTATATAGTATATACACTTTATAAGAGCAGCGTCTGACTTCTTACATGTGATCTTAAACCAGGTTTTCCAAAATAACTGTAGACCTGCTGCAGAGCTCGCATTTGCAGAGAATGCAGCCCAAATCTGTCGGCACTCAGTGTTGGTGTTTAGTCAAACCAGCAGGTTGATCGTCTATTTTGTCCTCTTCCTACTCTGGAGTCCCACACAACTGCTGCCTCTTTTCATGTCATCTAAAGCGATGCCAAACGATGAGCAGCTAAAAGCGATGCCAAACGATGAGCAGCTAACAGCCTCCCAACACTAGAATGAGATAACTTTTGAAGTTATTTTTATTCATTTCTTTCTCCACCAAGTTGCTTAACCTATTTCTGCAGAACTCACCCATTTCTTCCTTCTTCTCTCCAACACATTTTCCTTTTACATAACATGAGAATTGCACATAAAAAAATAAAATAAAAAAAAAAGCATAGACCTACAGATTTCATTTGTGTTGCATAACTAGTCTCCTCTTTTCTCACTCCAGTCTTTTGTGTTTGGTTGTGTGATGCTTTGTCGGGATGTGTGTGTTTGTCTGTGTGTGTACGACTGTTTGGTTGGATTCCCTGTCAACACCAGCAGACACCAAACCTGGATGAGTCGGGCTTAGGGGTTTTGTCTCTGGGGTGACAGTGCGTCTGCAGCATTTGAGGATTTCATGCTACAGAGCATGGCTCCTCTGGTGTTAATGCACGCCTCATCACCCGTAAGTCACCCAGAGGCTGCTGGGATACCTTGTCAGACTAACATCAGCCAGCTGATGCTCACCACTGGCTGATCCTCAACAGGACACCACAGAGGTCAATAGTTTGCTCTGTTTTCGGTAATTCGGGTTAATAAATTAAAAATTATTATTTCTGTTAAATTTGATGAGAGAAAACCGCAAATTTAGAATCTGAGAAATGTATTATAATAAATAAAACCAAAGAGTAAAACGATGTCTGTGCGGTGTAGGGGCTCCTTTTGCACTGATTCAAACGTTATTTCCTGCTGGCAAGGAGGTGGTTTAGATCATTTCTTAACGCTGGTCCTCAAGGCCCCTGCGTCGACATGTTTTAGGCATTTACTTGCTTCCACACACCTAACCAAGAGATCTTATAATATTGAGCTATTGTTGTCTCTAACAAGAATTGGTACCAACTTAGGTCCAGCTGGCTTCAGATGAGGGACCAGGTTCAGTTTTATCTCAAACGATTCTAGAAAATACATAACCCTAGTCTTCAAGGCCCCTGTGTTAACATTTTTTAGACGTTCACTTGCTTCCACACACCTAACCTGAATGAAAAGTTGATTTATGGCTTTTGATGGCTGTCGAGGAGGTGATAGAGTCATGAATCGTGTGTTTGAGTAAGAGATGCACCTAAAACAATACTCTATAAAAACAAATGGTGAAAATAACAGTAAAATACCAGCAGCTTTGGTAGCCAGGAAAATTCGGTTTTAAAAAACGTCAATCTGTACAAGACAAAACGGTCCATTGTTTTGGTAACTTTAAATTTTACAGTTGAAAACATTTTTTTCACTGTAAATCATTGTAGAAAAATAGATACCATAAACATTTAAACATTATTACAGGGAAAACCTTTTAAAACAACTGTAATGTGCTAAACCTTTTTAAAAGCTAAGTTAATAAAAAAAAAAAAAAACCTGTAAAAGTGTAAAACATTTTATTTCGACCAGTAAATTTTCATAGTAAATTCCTGGCAACCAAAGCTGCCGTTATTTTACCATACAATACATGTGCAAGATAAGTTTTTTTTTTTTTTTTTTTTTTTTTTTTTTTTTTGGTGTAAATTTTCAATATCATTGAAAATCAAATCATTAAGACAATTGTAAATAACTCCTGCCAAAGAATACAGTACAGATCAGTGTTTATATGATCACAAATCGCTATAAACCTTGACAATGTAGTAATGGTTGAACGAAAACATGAAAAATAGTCACTTGCCCCTCACTGAACATCAGTAATAAGTCACCAAGTCTGGACTTGGTTGAAGATAGCCTTCAGACAGACCAGGGTTTAAATGTACATGGCATCAAAGAGATGAGCTCTGCTGGAGAAGTCAAACTGCTTTCACTTCGGTTTCACTTTGAACTGCGAGGATCTGCTCTGCTGAAGAAAGAAAATAGACAGTGACAAAAGACACACAATATGTTAAAATAAGCTTTCATAAAGTATTTCTTAAAAAGTGTGGTTGCAAGTCTTAAATCTAGTCACAAGGTGGTAGGACAGACCCAAAACTAACTCAAAATGCAAAAATTTGAAGTTTCTCAAACAGGGTATCGATTCTTATTTTTAATGGAAATTCAAAAAAAGGTTTCTAAAAAAAAAAAGTAGTTTCTTATATTAACTCTATACTTTATACCATCTATGGACAGAAACTGAATTTGACTTGCTAAAACAGAGTCTGGATTTACATGATTTGAAATGAAATTCTATGGTTTGAAAAGTTATTTAACGAAACTGTATTTTATGTTATGAAATTGAATTTCATTGCTTTGAATACTAAGTTTTACAAATTGAATTTTTGTTTTATATATTCCAGTGTCATATATCTTGGTACTTTAGAAAGCAGCTAATCAAACTTAGACTTGGACAACTTTTATTGTCATTTTGTATACACAAAATGTATACAGAACAAAGTTTCATTTTGCACAGCTTTCATGGCATTTCCATTTCTTAAAAGTGCAGCAATGATCAAATAAATTTAAATAGTGTGGGATAAAAACACATTGATAATGATTGACAAAAAGCATTGATATGGAAGATTCAGTTTATTAAATATATATGGTCAATTATAAATTTGGTTTGGTGTTGTCAGTTTGATGCAGTCTGTGAAATGATTTAGAGTTTTTTCAACAGCTCAGCTGTCTGATGGCGGGGGGGAAGAAGCTGTTTCAGAATCTTAAACAGATTCACAGCTTTATGTGGAACATCAGCTTAAATTATTTAGCTGTAAATTTAATGTGCAGAACTCAGTAACCTGTAGTTTTATCCAAATGATGCCTTACAAATTAAGGTTTAAGGACATTTTTATCTGTATGAGAAAGTATTATAAAATGTATGCATATTTATTAATTTTCATTTCACACATTAAATCACTGAGTTTCTTATTTCTTTAGAGTGTTTTTTTCCAGTCACTTGATTTTATTTGAAGTATTTAATAAAGTAAAGGACCGCTTTGGGTTTCACAGTCTTTTAGCTATTGTTGTCTTTAAGGAGGATTAGTACCAACTTAGGTCCAGCTGGCTTCAGATGAGGGACCAGGTCCCGTTTTATCTCAAACGATTCTAGAAAATGCATACATTTGTAGTTCTATAGATCTTAAACCAAATTAATGGTTTAATTCAGCCAAAGAATTTACACAAGTTTAAACTTTTTTTTTTTATACCTTGACCTCTGATTGTTTCTGTTACAATAAACACGTCTCAATGTATGTCTGCAGTTTGTTTCGGTGGACGGCTTTGCTGTGAAAACAGTCTTCCTCTCTGCCTTACCACCTTCTTATGAGCACATTAGTTACACTAATGCGTGTTGTTTGTGATTAAATGCTTTCTGTAAAATTAACTTTTGTCTCACCTCCTTCCTCCTCCTCTTCCTCTTTATCCTTGACCCCCTGTGTGTCTCCTCTGTGCCTCCTCCCCTGCCTATTCTTCTTGTTGCTCTGGTCCCTTCTTCGACTACCTTCTGCTTCTCCTTCTCTTGCTCCTCCCACACAGATGCTCCCAGCCGCCCAACTTGACAGGAGTGATGGGATGTGTCAACTAGGTATTACACCTATCCCAACATCTTACACTGCAAGCAGTGATAGTGGCCGGGGAGGGGTGGGTTTTGAAATCTTAAGGACTAAAAATACTATTAAAAAGGCAGAGAAAAATGAAGAAAAGATGAAGAATATAATCTCATATCTAGCAGGGAAGTTAAGGATGCAGTGTTGCCTTATGAAAACTGACTCATTAGAGAACTTGTGTGCCTCTTTTGATAAATAATGATTGGATTTAAAATGGGGGGCCGGGTTGTAAGTTTAAAATAGTGACTCCCAGCAGACTTATACTGGGTACGCCTATTTTAAAGTCATTCCCGTTTACATTCAAAAAGGTGCCACAGGCTGCAGAGCTAAAAATGCTCCCCTGACCCAGTGATGGACAAAAAAGCACCGTGTCTTTTACTTCAGAACTCTTCCTCTTAAAATTTAATAAAAAAAAAAAAAAAAAAAAAAAAACGAATGGTTTTAACAGCAAAGCTAGCATTTTTCATTTGTCACAAGTACAGAACAACAAAATTAACTCTCTGCATTGAACCCACCCAATTGGGGGAGTGTTAAGCATCTTGCTCAGGGACCCAGATAGGTAGTCTGTGGGAGTGGGGCTTAAACTGAGAAGCCCAATGCCCTAACCACTAACCGCCACTCCCCAAAAGCGTGAAGGGTCTTGTCCTGGCAGCTCATTCCCCTGGGGATACGAACCCAGGCTACCTGTTTGCAGAACAGGTGACTAACCACCTTAGCTAGCCAGCTGCCGGTGTTTAGAGTACACACCTTTTTTTTTTTACTTATTTTGCTGTTATTTATGCTAATCAGGCATAATAGAGCATCATGTGGCATGCAGCAAATTGGGAGCAGGATAAAATATTTTTTGGTTACATATTTTTGTTTATATGATCACTGAACCGGTGCTGCATACTTTAGTTTTAAATGAAATGTGTTAGAAAGCGACTCTGAAGCTTATCACTACCCTAGCTTTTGCAAAGCAGGTAGATCTGCAATTATTTTTAGAAAATGGATAGGGGGTAAAACAAATTACAGTAACCAGGTTTTGTATTTAAAAAAAAATAAATGTCAATGTTTTATTAAAAACACTGACATGTTTTAAAGAACTACATTTACTTCACTATTATGACTGCATTGTAGATATTTAAACTTAAAAGATGCCCTCTTTTTGCTGTGACTGTGTGTTTTATAATCCACTGAGGCTTGGTGAAATTATTTCAACAGAATTAAGAGTTGATGTGGAGACTTGCCCTTTAAAAGTGGTCAATTAAATAGAAATTGCAGCAATGAAATAGTTTGGTATTTGACCCATGTGGGAAGAAGTAAAGCCAGTGTTCTGTGATACACTCATAATCAGTTTGAAGGCTTGGATACACGTTAAAAGTTGGCTGGAATGGAAATTATATTTATCAGTTTTTGTAGGTAGGTTCTCAATATTTCATTGAGAACCTACTTGCACTAAGTTGCTAACTGGTTATGCAAGATGCTTCCGAGACACCGGCCACAACCAAAATGCTTGCGAACCTTCCGCCACAACAATCCCGCCCCCTTGATAATCGACCAATCACATTCACTTTATTTACTCGTGTAAAGTCAGACCCCACTTGGGAGAATTCGGAAATGCAACTGTTGGAACAGCCGTTTCCCTACGACCTTATAATGCCATTTACTTTATGTTTGAATTTAAATAATAGTCATTCAAATAAATAACTGTAATTGAAATAGCTTAATGCAAAGTAATCAATCACTTGCATAAACTCAACAGATATTCGTAATATTATTATTGCAACAGCTTTAACAGATGGGAATTTTACTATCCCTGAATTGTGAGGAATTTATGCCTGTTATAATTCTGAGCTTTTATTTTGACAGTACCTATATCCAGAGTGCTATGATTACACTTTACTGTTTATAATAGAATAGTTTTTTGAAAGAGGACTGGATTATCAACTTTAGATGGCTTCATGTTGACCACGCCATCGGCAAGCCTCTGGTGTTCCTCTGCTTGGGTGTTTTAAACAAAGTCCTCCATATTCAAGCATTAGAGAGGCAAAGTCAGCTGCTTTTGAATTTTTATTTAATAATAAAGGATGTTAACATGACCCACAGTTGATGAACCCAAAATTAATTCCTACTTGTGCACCAGATTCCTCTTTCTAAAGACCATGAAAGCTTCATGTTGTGTCATCGGTCAACCATGAATAAAAACAAGCTGTGCTAATGCATCAATAATAGCCTCAAATGTTGACTGTAAGTCAACTTTTGACTCTGATCAGTAAATCGATCCCTGACCTGGTGAGTTGTCTGTTTCTTTTACTTTTAACTCCAGTGAGCAGGTGTTGGACAGATTCAGTTTTTTTTCTAACCGAGTGGGAACCAGGGTTATATTTTACAAAGAAATGATGTACATGAAACTGAGAATAAGGCTCATTCATCATGTGACTAACAAAACAAGCTGAAATCCTTGTAGTACTTTTTTTGTTTTGTTTATATCATCATGGTTTTAAATTCTCTCTTAATCGCTCTGAACATTGTATTTCCCAATCCTTTGTATTTTATTTTATTCTGTCCGCTTTACTTTTCACCTCCCTATTGGATCTTATCCTGTTAGAAAGAGAAGTCAGTTTCAATCTGATCCCATTAGTAATTTGTGATTTTGAGATAATTCATGAGTCATTCAAAGAGGACTTTTACTTTATGAAATGAAGGCCAGAAATAAGTGTTGTTTAAATTATTCACGTTAATCCATAGCAGATGACTCACAGAAAATCAGCACATTGACACAAAATGTGTGTGCTTGACCTGGACATTATTTGTGCCAGAGATTAATTATTAAAAGAAACTAGTTGAAAACGGTAAAAAAAATCAGTGAAACCTTTTTTTAATCATCTGCAGTAACCATGAACGCCTACATGTGCCAAAAACAGAACTGAAAGGGCCTGATGTGAAACAAAGAAAGAATAAAAAAAAAAAAATCCCCAAAAAAAAAAAGGAAAGTGAATCCCTTCCTTTAAAAAACTAAAAAAAAAAAAAGAAAAAAAGCAAATTCTGAATATCAATCGGTCGAGACATTTGAACTTAAAGCATCTTGTGGTCATCTCTGTGTTTAATTAGAACATAAAGGGCTTTTAGTCTGGGTCAGAATATTAACTGTTCGGTTTGTTTGTTTTTTTGCAACAGGTGGGAAACTCCTTGATGATGATGATGATATTGGACTAAGGGATCAATCTGCAGTGTTCACACCAGAGCGAGACACAGGAGGGATTGAGGTAGAAGACTACATCATCAAAGAAGACAAGATGGGCGTGGGGAAGAACACCACCTCTAAATCAATAGACAGCAGCAGTGAGGGCGGAAAATATGAAGAGGAGACCAAACATGAAGCAGATTTTTATCCTATACCGGTATGTATGACTGATTTACAAAGTTAGACTCAAGCTCACACACACTGAACCAAAGACTAAGCTAATACTGTTTGGTTTGCTTCCTTTTAATAAGGAACAGGAAATACCAAAACCTTTGACAAATATAAGGTTTCAAGTTCAAAAAGACAGATGATATCCATCAGTTATTCAGTAAATGAATAATTATCATGATTTTATTTTTTTTTTTTTAGATCAACTTGAAGGTCTTTTCTGGCGTCTTAGTCTGTACCTTTTGCTTTGTTTTTTTTTTCATCAGCATCAGGCTGTTGATCTCTGAGCTATATATTAAGAGTTCAGGGATAAGAAGGTGTGCAGATTAATATACCGGTCAGCATTAGCTGAGAAAGATATGTGTATTTAAACAGGTAGTAACCATCCATAAGTCTAAATATTGTGTTTATCTATTTGTCATTTTATGCATCCTATACATCTATCTATCCATTTATTTATCCATCAGTTCTTTAACATCTATGTTTTTGTCCCTGTATCCATTTTCTATTTGTGCATCTATTCATCCCATCGGACATCCATGCGTTTTTACATCCATCTGTTATTTCGTTCATCCAGCCATCAATCTATTTTAGTGTTAATCTATCAATCTATCAATTCTTTTGTAAATCCATCCATCCATTTGCCCGTTTCATTTTTACTGCATCTGTAGAAATATTTGTGTTAAATTAAACTTTTAAGTCTCTCCTGTGTGTTTCTGTGTAAATCTAATGGTAAGCCATTAGCAGTGACATGAAGGGCAAATGTGATTGGTGCATGGTCTTTATTTTAAAAGGGTGCAGGGAAGAAAAGGTGTTTAGGTTGGAGATGAAGCTCCCAGTTTGTCAGTGGGTTGACATTCCTACCCTCACCACTGACTACAGCTGATGTTGGAGACAAAGGAAGCTAAAACTAACTAAAGTGTGATGTTTTGTCCTTTGACTAAATAAATCCCCACTATGCTGCTGATATTTTGGGGTTGGTTCCTGGCATCAATATTGCTTTTTATTCCTCATTTAAATTATTTTCAATGAAAGCAAATGTTACACAAGTTTGAATTTAAACCCAAAATAAACATTCATTAACACGTCATCTCATGACATGTTCAGGCATGGCTGCTGAATGAGCTAATAGTGATACAAGAAAGAAGGTAATTAAAAATATCGGCTGGCCAATGTATAAGTCAACCTTTAATGATGGATTTGGGATGAGTTGCACTCCAAGATTTAAAATAGATGTTTGAAATATACTTACTGTCTCAATTTGTGGGTCTAGGTGGTAGTAAATGGAGTTGGTGGTGCCACCGGAGATCAGGATACTGAGAACACCGAGCTGATGGCAATCTACACCAAGGATAATCAAGCAGCTGAAAAGGTAAGTGAAAAATGAAAGTATAGAAGTGAAATATAAACCAATTGTTGCAAAAAAAAGCAGACAGACAATCGCTGGGCTAAAAAAACATGACATTTATGGTAACCAACTTCTTCATCACAGTTAAACTTCCATTTATATGTAAGCTCACAGAAGGCACAGTTTGAAGGGAAGTTTTACAAGGAGAGTTTTTTATTTTTTATTTTTTTTTTATATACATATAAAAGCCAGGGCTTTTTAAAGGTATAGCTTTTATTATTAAGGAGCTGGACATGTCCTGCTGCACTGAATAGGAGAAATAAACGTTCAGGTTGTTATCAGGGAGATTAACCTGAACTGGATGAAATATTATACTGTTTTTTTCTGACTTTAATATAGTAAAGCTATATAACAGTAGAAGGACCAGACAACAAGACATGGATTACTGACTGCCAGTGTTTATCTACCTCTGCCTTGTTTTTTGTCTTCTTCTTTTCCATGATTGTGTAAAGCAGGGCTTATGATTACTGAAAAAGTTTAAGCGTAATGTTACTACTAAAAATATCTTAGCCCATCATTATCAGTCAACTTAACTTTTTCTGATTATGATTGTTTCAGTTTTCTTAAAGAAACATTTCAGATTTCTTAAAGAAACACTTTCTTAAAGAAACACAGATTTCTTAAAGAAACACTAAGCCAGCACTTAGGTCTTTGGACCTAAGTGCTGGCTTAATAAATGTGTATTAAATTGTTTTTTTTAGATCATTTGCAGCTTGAACTTTGAATGATTTGGATTCTTTGTTTCAATTCCAATTTCTATTCATTCCAATTCTTTTAAGAGGAAGTTCATTAAAGTTTATTTGTTATAAATAACCTGGCTAGCATTGTTGCAAGGGAACTTGCAATGCAAAAAGAATATATACACATTGATTCTCATAATATTACTATGGCCCTGATCATTTGCACAAAATACTACACTGTTTAGAAACTTTTAAAAATTCTGAAGACCTAAAAGTTTTATTTTGTTCCACAATAAAATGCAACATTTTTGGTCTGTCATATCTGTCTACTGTAGTTTATAATTTGTGCTAAACTAGTAGAATATTTGAAAATGTTGCTTAATTTTGCAATATGCAATATAAACAAAGAGTTACAGTATGAAGTATTTTTTTTTCCTGGTTTTATAGCAAATGCAAACCCCAGAGAAAATGTCATCTGCCCAGCTTCTAGAATAAAACAATGTTTTCCAACATCTTATTGGTTTGTTTTTGACTTCATTTCTGTACCTTCCCAGACTTTAGATGTGCCCTGCTTTAAATGTAACGGAGGCAGAGAAAGTCTGAATGCTTGGTACTTACAAAATCAGCTTATATCTTTGCTCTGGATATTAGGTATTGTGTAGTTTTTATTTATTTAAAGGATGAAAACTATTGGGAGAAACTTCTGTTAACCAGAGTTATCTATCTTTCTTTTTTTCTTTTTTTTTGCATTACTACATATTTGCATGAGTCCTTTTGTATTCAAAACCAACAGAGGTGCACAATTTCACTCTATCCATTAAGCAACCTGAAAGGACTGCTTTTTATACATGTTTTAAAGACAAGAGTTTCAAAAGGACAACTAATTTTGAGCTTCCTGAGTATTTTCTGTTTCTTTGTATTTGTAAGCAAAGGGATTTTTTTTAAAAGCTCTGCATTATGTATCCGATAAGATATGGATCAGAAAAGATACACTTTTTGGTTAACATTCATGTCATTCTCTCAGCTGTGCTTTTTTTCCTTTTGTCATCATGACTGTGCACTTCTTATTCATAGCATGACACTGCACTTTTTTGAGATGGAAAAGTTTTGTTTTCCAGTAGTCTTTTGTCTTGTTTTATCTTTTTTTTTTTCCCTTTGGAAATATACGCCCTAATCCAAACTGTTCAGACATGTTTGTCTAATTGCAGCTTTTAATGATCCAAAGCTACATTGGCAGGGCAGTTTAAGATAATCCTGATTTTTGTTTTCCTTCCTTTGCATTGTATGTATAGAGCTCAATTTCCGAGACACTTGACAGCACTGACAGCATGGATGCAAGGAGGATGGATATGATCTATACCATTGAAGACACCCCACCCTGGTACCTGTGTGTGTTCTTAGGCTTACAGGTCAGTGGTACATTAAAAGCTGGGTGGAGTGAGAAAGAATAAAACCACCTACACATGTATATGTCCTTGTCATGTCATGTCATGTTAGGGTTTTTATTCCCTGGGCGCCCATCTAAGAGAACACAAACATGAAGCCTTGGATTAATTCCCAAGGCAAAAAAAGTTTATGTTCTCACCAAGCGAGTGTTGCGTGCTTTGGTCTGACATCAGACATTGGTGATGCCTCTCCCCTTTATCTCTTGGGTCAGCGGTGGAAAGAGCTCATGTCTGAGAAATGGATGACCTTAACCCCTGTTTGTACAAATTACGCAAGTTTAAATCGCCGCAAAGGCCACACAATAACTATATTTACCAACACAAAACACATGGAATAATTCTTTAACTGATGTTTTAAAAAAAGAAGCGTTTTATGTCTAGAATTGTTGACCGAAGCATCAGTTTAAGAGCTTAGCAACAACCAAACACTTCCAGGTGAATAATAGTTTAAATAGATCTCTAGGAACGAGTGATCATTTGATGATGACTCAGCCAGACCTCTTTGGAAGAGATTCATATTGATTGTGTTTGTGTGTTCAGGTGTCCATTATGGGCACCAACCGCTACAACTATAGGCAGCCCTGCTAAAGAAGTGTAAAAGATATTCCTTCTTTTCATGGCAGTAGCATCATCATGCACTTAGTTATCTAACAAGTCTTATAAAATGGACATTTGATAATTTCTAATGGATGCCTCACCTTTACATTTTCTAGAGGACTGTTTATTTAGTAATACACTATTCCCATTACCCCTGATTATAAATGTGACTGTAAAATGAGGCCTGTTATATTACCTTCTATTAAAGATAAAAGATTAGGGAACATGCCATTTAACTGAGGCGTGTGTTTTTCCTGACATGCCAGAAAATGGCTATAAGTAAACAACTGCAAGCTTAAACCTGCTCTCTATCATAAATGCATGAAATGGGACTGGATGAGGACCTGCCACTAACCATGGGACAGTAGGACATCCACTTAGAATAAGTTTGATGTAAAAACAAGAAATATTGGCTTGTAATCATTATTTGCAACAAAGTAAAAAAAAAAATAGTAGTATTAACCTGACAAATGATGTAATGTGTTCTCCTGATGCCTAATTCTTTTAAAAGTGTGAATGACTGATATAGTGCATAGGCTGAAATAAATGTTTTGTGTGTTTAAAATAAATATTTTTCACATTTTCTGCAGACAATGAGCTTTTGGATGCCACATTTCTTCCTTTCAGTGATTTTTGCTGATTTGCTTCACAGTTAAATGGCATATTTCCCTTTGAAAAGCTTCAATTCAAATCCCTCGCCATTACACAGTTTATGTCTGGCCAGACATTATATGGTGTTGGGAGGCAATATCATCAAGTTATGTTTTATCTATGAAGCTATGATGGGTGGACTCCCACGTTATCTCAGCAGTCCATTAGTTCTAGCGTTTACCATTTGCCTACATACAAATGCCTGCTTTTAAATCGCACATTTATTCTTCCTCGTTATCTGTTTTAGTTTATGTTTTATGTTTGCTATCTTATTCAGGTCTCCTTTGGTTAAATAAAAGCAAATGTGTCTTTTCAGGAAATGCTACTAATCACCTGGAAGATTTAGATTAAACTAATCTTTTCATTTGACCAGCATGTCTTGGAGTTGGGCAGTGGAGCAGACAAGGCTTAAACTGCATCTCAAACCCTTGAGTTTGATTCGGTACACTTGGTTTTTTGGGGCAGTGAGCTGCTTCATTTTATTTTTCTTGTAAAGCAAAAAAATTACAAATTGTTTTTCATTTGAGTCATACAGCTGTTCTTCGCGTATCTTTCCCTAATTGTTTCTGCGCACATCTTTCTAACGTTTATGGTACTATCAGATCATGCAAGCAGCAAACCATAGAACATAGCTCATAGATGCTTTTTGATCAATATTTGCTTTCCTAAATACTGAAACTGTGTAAACAATCATTTTTGCCCAGAATCGACTTCATATTGGCTACTATTTTTGTTTTATAATCTAGTAGCTTTATATTTTTGTTTTACAATCTAATAGCTGACAGCATGCTCTTGTTTTTTCAGCACTACCTGACATGTTTCAGCGGGACCATCGCCGTCCCGTTCCTTCTGGCTGAGGCCATGTGTGTAGGCTTTGATCAGTGGGCCACCAGTCAGCTCATCGGGACCATTTTCTTCTGCGTGGGAATCACCACCCTACTGCAAACTACGCTTGGCTGCAGGTACACACACACACACACAAAGTCCACCTTGCACTTGTTGCTTCTGTCACTTTATATCATAAAGTACATCTTGAAGGTAAGGGCCATTCATGTAAAAAAAAAAAAAAAAAAAATGAAAGAAAACAATGTTCCTCTTCCTCCATCTTCCTCTCTTATTCATTGTGTTTGAAGCACGCTTAAGCAGTACTGTTCTGTATTGCAGTGTCTGCTCAGCGTTCTAGTAAGACTTAAAGTTCCTCGTTTTGTTCATTCTCTCCAGTTTGTTTCATAAACTTTGGGATGGAAAGTAAACACACTGGATTTACTGCACTTAAGGGAGCCAGTTACATGTTTTTGGAGTGTTGCATCACATATTGGCAAGAGAAGCGAAGAACTCCTAAGCTATAATTAATTAAATCCACAGGCATTTGTTTATGAGAAGCTACTTAGAAGACCTACTTTTCCAAAATATAAGTACAGACATGTCTGTATCAAATCAGTTGACCTACTTCTCAAAGATGTCCTCTGCCCTGAACACGTATTTATACTGATCTGTTAGCAAACAGTTTTTCAAAGGGTTTCTCCTCTTATTAGAGAAAAAGGCCGATAGTTTAAAAAGTAATGATGTAATTGATGTTGCAAGTTGTTTGTACAGACGCAGCGTTTGTACACTTTGTAACATTAACAGGAGGAAAAGGGTGGAAATGGTTCATTTAAATTTATTGGAACTGGCCCAAACTTATTTTTTTGTTATTAATTTTTTTAATTTAACTTTTCAACTTTTGACACAATCAAACTGCTCCACATCATATG